GGGGGGGGGGGGGGGGCGCAAGCCCTCCCCACCACCTGCTACTCTGTACTGCATGCAACTCAGCAGTGGTCGCAAGCGTCGCAAAGGGCAGGGAGGCAGCCTCGCGCGCTGTCGAACGCCCCCCCGCCCAGACAGAGGCATCACAATCATGCTCTGGCCAGCGTCTGGTGGGTCGGCATTGCGCAACACACGCCGCAATCAGCCTGAGAGCAGATGATGGGGTGGGCGCGGGTGGACGAGAGTGGAGCCGAGTTGGGTGGGAGAGGGAGCACGCACGTGCAGCGGTGCCGAGAGTGGGTTGAGATGGCACCGCCTGCGGCCGCCCGGGCGGCGACGGCTTGCGCAGGTATGTTGTTCATGTCCTTATCCGCCGCCGCTTGGCTGCAGCAGCCAATGACGCCGCCCGCCTTTGCGAAGGGGCGTCTGGACGCGCTTGGCGGTTGACGCCGGCCCGCCACTGCGCCTCGTGCGCGTCCACCTCCGTCGAGGTCGACGCGTCGAGATCGGCGCGCATCACCGAGATGCCAGAGCCCGCCTTCGCCGACATGATTCCTCGCCGGATAGCTCGGTGAGTGGTGCCGTCGCCCGAAACGGAAAACCGGCCGCGGGGAAATATAAGGTAAGATACCCGGGTTTTACCCGGGGTTGCCCCGACTCGTGGTAAATCTTACCACCGTTTGATTGTTTTGGTCGGAGAGTGTTTGATTGTTCTGGGGGGCTATACCAGTAAATCGCAAGCACTGGCACGCCCGCGCCCGCACGCGAGCGCTGCGGCGAGCTCGTGACCCGTGCGCCCTGCCCCTGGCGGCATAGCCGCGGCCTTACTCGTCAAGATTCAGTGATAACCTGACCTTGTACGGCCGGTAGGAAGGTGTCGTTCCAGCGCGTGCAGGCTTCTGACGCAATGGCCAATGCCGCGCCACAGGCCCACAGCTCTGACAAGGGACAGCGACAGGCTCGCAGCACGGTGGACTCCCTATTCCACTGGCGATCTCTCTCGACTAGCGACCTTCCTCCGGCTTCTCACCACGGCTTTTGTTGTGGCTAGGAAAATTCTTTTTAGGTTGGAGCTCGCGCTTCTCGCTCTCGCGACGACATGACAGCGCTGGTCCTCCTTCTCACCGGCGCCTCGCTCGCGCCGGGTCTACAGCGACCTGTGCCGACGCCGCTGCTGCCCGGGCGCTGGTCTGCCGCCGCGTGCTCCAGCCGCGCTCCGGTGGTTCGGTGTCAGGAGGAGATCCCGGCGAGCGCCTTGGAGAACATCCCGCCTGCAGCGATGGCCGACGCGTGGATGCGCGACGAGAAGGCGAGGGAGCTAGGCGAGGCGCTAAAGGGTTGCTCGGTCTACCTCGTCGGTCTCGGCTCTCCCAAGCTGGAGGCCGTCGGCCGCATCTTTTCGCGCCGGCTGCCCAAATACCGCTACTACTCTGTGCCTGAGCTGATGTGCAGCACGTACGCGACGCTCTCCGGCGGCGAGGAGGG